TATTTACAGAGGGGCCCAGTTTCACCAACTTAATTCATTCTAAGATTCTGGTAAAAATGGTTGTGGTCATGTTCATCACCTGATGTAGAGTTTGCCAAGGGAAGCAGAATTTTGTCAAACTCTTCTCTTTGCTAACCTAATTGTTTCCAAACAGAAGTGTTTGTGAACCAAGGCATTACTGTATTTGTATTGTTTTGGCTCCATAAAATAAATTTTGCAGCTTAGCCAGGTAGTGTGTGGTACTTACATTTTTTTCTTATAAAACTGTTTTGCAAACTTGGCACAGTGGTGCATGCCTATACTCCCAGGTACTCAGGAGGCTGAGGCATGAAGATCACAACTTTAAGGCAAGCATGAGCAACTTACTGAGATTCTGTCTCAAAAAAAAAAAAAAAAGCAAATTAAAAGGGCTGGAAATGTAGGTTAGTGGTACAATGCTTGCCTAGCATGCATGAGAATCTGTGGTTCAATCCTCAGTACAACAACAACAGTAACAAAATGTGGATGTAGTAAATGACTTTCCTAGTTTTCTATGTAACTATCACTAATTCTTCCATCCCAATTTTCTGACTTTCTGACCAGTTCCTCTCAATGTGGTCACGTGTGTAATCTTTCCTTTCTTTCTTTTTTTCTCAGAGACATCTCTTGCAGAAAACTAGGATTTATGTGAACTGATTGTCCACTAGACCTGCTACACAGATTTCATCCTGGAATTCCATGGTCATTTGTGTGTGAAATGTTAGGATTCCTTAATGCCATGCCTCTCTTTATTTGTTCTCTCAGTTGAATCTTTCTCTCCAGTAGTTTTTCAAAGCAGGTTTAAAAATAAAGTTCTTCCTGTAATTTAAAGGTAGAAATAAACTCCTATTATATTTTGAAGTCATACTTGTCATCTTATTTCCATGTTGCTGCTGAGAAATCTAATGCCATTCTATTCCCAATTCCTAAAATAGAATCACTTATTTATCTGTCACATCTCCTGAATTCTAAAGTTTAACGATGATGTTTCTTGATGTAATCTATTTTTTCTGTGAACTATGTCATATTCCATAAGTTCTCTTCAATCCAAAGGCTTAGATCATTAGCTCTGGAATGTTTTCTAAATTTTTCCTTTGGAAATTTTCTCCCCTCAATTATTCCTTGAAATGCTCCTGAGAAATGCCATTCCCCTCTCAGATGACTAATGAGTTTTCAAATTGTAAGTAATTCTGTCAGTCTGTTATTGCCTCTGTTATCTTTCCCAAAGAGTTGTTCTACAATAGTAAGAATCCAATGAGAGAAAGGAAGACTTCTTCCATCCAGTGGAAAACTCTACCCAATGTCCTAATGAAATTGGATGATCTGGACACAGAAAACTTATTCCAAAAGACATCGCTCAGGGGTTTCTACCTTTGTGAAACCCTAACCTAGTACAGTCACCATCCCCAACACCACTCTCTAAAGAAGGGGAGATGGAAAAAAGGAAGGAGGATTGGGGAGGTTCAGGAGAAAACTGATGAGCCCCCCCAACACTTGATATTAGGCTTTTCATGGTATTGGTGCATGTATCATGGCTGTTGCAGCCATGATGGGATGTTACTTTTGTTTACATGAGGTTTTTTCCCATATATTAAAAGCTCTGACAGGAAAGGTAGAATATATTATTTAGGTTCTCATTCCTGATGTTTAGCAGTGTCCACCACCCACTGGGTTCTAAATAAACTCTTCTTTAATAGTGATTGTAATCTGATTGCTGTGAGTCCTATAGTGCTACACACTTAATTTCAACTATCAGAATTTCACCTGAGCCTTGTTTTCCCTGGATATAGGGTCATCAATAGCAATTATCACCAGGCTTTTCTTTTAATTGGCAGTCCAAATTATCAGGTATGTGTTCATTTCAGAAGAAAGTGTAAAGTAGAGCATGATCATTTGATATGACATATGGGTCAATGATTTTTGAACTAGAATATTCCCAATTGTCATTTTAGGTACATTAACATTTAAACTTAGTTTAATATAAAATATATCTTGCATGCCATGAAATGTCTATGTTAAGGAGTACTAAGCATTAAAAAATAGTCTCAAAGAATATATTTGAAGTCACTTTGTGTCTAAATATCCCATGCTCTTATATCACAGAAAGCATCTTTGAACATTTCACAGATATTTTCCAGAATTACTGCATAACTACTAGTACATAAAGCCTCTTGTGACATTAATACAGTGCTGTTTGAATGCAGGCATTTCACAAGAGAAAAATCCCCATGAAAATTCACTTCATAAAATCAACACCCAGGATTCACCTACGCTTTTCCAGATTCTCCATCAAATCTTCAGCAGCTGAGCTCATTTTGAATGAAACTGCATGAAAAGGATTTAGAAAAGAAATGTAATAGTAATTTGCAAAATAAGTGGTCAAAAATTTTACATATAATTTTAAATAAGGCACCCTGGTGAGAAATCACATAGGGAAAGTCAGGTTTGGTTTTGTTTTTCACAAAAACTTCTCTATCTTATAGATCAAATTTTAATCAATTCATATAATTTAGAAAATGAGGCCATTAGAGTCAGATGTGATTGCCAATAATCTAATGCTCCCATGCATTAGTTGTTTTTTCAGCCTTTAAATTTAACTATCAATCTTAAAAATTGGAATTGAAATAGGAAGTGTGGATAAGAAAGTTTGCAGAGATGAAATTTTTGAAAAAACTATCAGACCATAGGATACAAGTGGGCATTCAAAATGTAATAATATTTGCACACAAGGATGATAAAATTTTGTTTCATAAGAATAAAAACAGCATATATTCATAAGAATGATTTAGAAATGTTCAGAGAACATACAGTAGAAAGAAAAACAGAATTGATGCTGTGTGGAATCTCTGTAATTTACAGTCTCTTTCTGCAGTTACTGTACATTAGCTCAGAAATTTTTGAACTGTTTTCTGTTGACTTGGGAGAAATACTTGCCTTATTATTAGAGCAAAATAAGTTAGTTAACATTATCGCAAGGACTTAAGGTCAAAATTGTGGATTCTTTTCCCCAAAGAATTTAGTAAAACTATATATTTCTTCTTAGTTTAAAAAAAATAAAACCAGAATTCAGATTCAACCTAAACATAAATGTGGCTTAAGAATTACACAGGAATACCACTTGGCATTTCTTAAGTTAGCCTGTTCTTTCTATCCTGGATAAAAATAAAGAAAAGAAAGCATCTAACACAGAACCACCCTATTACAAACCAGATTTGCCCAGAAAAGCAGAAATTTTCTGGCCTACATCTATGCATTTTTTCCACTTTCCGTAGCCTCCCACACTATAATGACTTATACATGGAATTTAGAGACTTTATATTTTCTTTTGAGTGCAAAGTGAAGGCCAACATGGAAAATGTGAATGTCGGCCATTTTCAAAGATGGTCACAGACCTTTGAGGGAACCAAATAGTATCCAGAAAGATATTTGGTCAGCCTGACAGATCAGATTTCTAGTATATTCCTTAACTTTACCAGTGTTTGTAAGGTAGAAATATTTACCTTTTCAGCATGTGTTTAGTCAGAATAATTTGAAATTTTTGATAGGGAGTCAAAGTTCTTTTCAAAGACTGAAATGACCCCAAATCAGCACAGCAATTAATAGTTTTTATGACTAAAATCAATAAGCCAATCCATGTAAAGTGCTGACAGTTCTAGTGTAGAATAAAAACTAAAAGTAATTGCTCTTTAAATGGGATTTTTCATTTACATTCCAGTACTTTGGTTTCATTGTGCAATGACATTGGGTTAGTCTGTTTTATAAGGTTGGGTTTACATCGGTACCACTTGCTTCCTTTCACTAAGGATTTAAATAACTGAAGGCAAAAGAATTGCTACTTGGGCAGTGTTTATATTCTTGCCTTATCTTATATGTGGTTTTCTTATTTACTTGAATTTTAATAGCCAAATTCTAACAGAAATATTCACATTAAACTCCTTAGAAGCCAAAGAGAATGAGACTCAAGTTTTTGAAGACTGACCCTATTTTTTTTGTCATGCCTACATCTTCTTTATGCTATACTTGAATTCCTGCATGAGGAGTTTAAAGGTTTTATATACTAAAGATATATGGGGAGAAGGGAAGAAGGTGGAATCTCATAATTGCATGGATACAATGAACTTCATTGACTATCTGAATCTAGGTCTTAAAAACTAGATCTTAATTTGATTATGGGTTTACTTTCTACATATATAACTTTGGTCAGGTTATTTATTTTTTTTAATTTAACAATATTAGCTTGCTTATTCATACTAGCAGTAGTAGGCTGCATGAATAGGTATTTTAGTTCATTTTTTAAGATTCCACAATACTAACTTGCTAGCTAGTAATAGCAGTAATAGGATAAATGAACAGACCTATCTCTAATAAAGCACTATAAATGGTACGTTATTCTGCCTTATCCATGAATGTTAAAATGAGCTAAACTGAATTATTCTGTATTTCTTAGTCATTTCTAGAGTAAATGCATCTCAGTCATTTGGGATTGGTGTTAGCTCTTTCACACACTAATACATTACATATGCTGTCTCTATAGCTTAAGTTTTGCATGAACAGTTCCCTGGTGGCCTTTGTTTCCATTTAAACAAAACAGTTAATATATTTCTATAATGACTTGTGTTCACAAAAAGTAAATTGGAAAAACAGGCAAGCTAGAGCAACAATCTTCTTCCCATGATTTTTAAGTATTGCAATCCAAATATTTTCTTAATAGAACTTTGTATTTGTATCTTTATTCATTAATAGGCTAGCTCAAATGCCTTTAAAAGTATTGCTGATAATTTTTGACTAGTTATGTTAAATGAAAAAATATCTCTAGCATTAAACTTCTTTTAAAAATAGCTCTGTTAAAGCTATTAAACAGAAAATTCATAAAATCTCTTACATCTACCTTCATAGTACAAATTAGGTGTTCTGTTTTCCAAGGTATACTTTAACTTTAGAAATGTAACCATAACAATATATATTTTTAATTTTTTTAATAGGTGGTGAAATGACAAAACTCACTCTTCTATCCATGAATTTGAAATAATCTTTCATCAAGTTCCATCTACATTAACCTCATATGGAATGTATCTCTCTGTCTGTTGTTAAACTATGATGACATGTCTGTAGCTATCAGAAAGAGAAGCTGGGAAGAACATGTGACCCAACGGATGGGACAGCCTTTTAATACTGATGATTGTAACACAGCATGTCATCATGGACTTGTAGCCGACAACTTGCAGGCAAGTATGGAAAAAGATGCATCTCTAAATGTGGACCGCAAAGAGAAGTGTGTCTCACTCCCAGACTGCTGTCATGGATCAGAGCTGGGAGATTTTCCTGGGAGGTCCATGGGTCACATTTCAAAGAAAATGAATGAAAATGACAGTAATGAAAGTGAAGATGAGTTTCTTTCTCTGGAGGCCAGCACAGAAACATTAGTGCATCTTTCTGATGAGGATACCAACTCTGATCTGTACCCTACAGATAATAAACAGATTTTAACTTCCCAGGGTCATAAAATCTCAGGCCATCATAGTGTTGAAGGAGCATGCTCCTTAGTAAATACATTGCCCATCATGGAAAGTAGCCATGATTCTTACAGCTCTTGGGGAATTGCTGGCAAGGATGATTTAGCACTAGCAGGAGAGAATGGGGAAAGAAAAGTTGTTGACACTGTAAGTAAAAGCCTGGAGCTTTGTGATGATATAAACCTAAGTGAAATAAAAGATATGCCCAAAGTAAATACATTTGATTCTTTGGATGTAAAAGATATTGCACCTGAGAAGCAATTGGTGAATTCTGCTGTAATTGCTCAACAACGAAGAAAACCTGACTTCCCTGAAGATGAACATGAAAAAAACATGTGCCATGAATTACAAGATGAAGTCTTGCCCATTCCTTGTACAGATGGAAGATTGCCATTATTAAAAGCAGATTTTGGAAGCTGCCTTCAGCAACCTCCTTCCACCACCAGTGGTGCTGAAAATGGCCTGGAAAAAAGTGGATTCTCAGAACATCAAAACAAAGGCCCTCCTGAGGTCAATGCAGATGATGGTGTGCAGTGTTTTCCTGTAAAGGACACTCTGGATACCCAGGAACCCACCGACTGCCAAGTCAGACTTCGTAAAAGAAAGGTAAGACTACCTGGCTTTTGAAATTTTGTAAATATCCTTATTTTCATCCTTTAGTATTTGCTTAGATTAAAAAGGTATGTAGATATTTATATTGCCCTACAATGAAGATGCATAATTTTTAAAGATTATCCAATTGGTGAAACTATCAAAATATGTAAAATTTGAAATAATATTTTATTTTGCTAACAGTATTTCAGGAGTTTGTGATCATTCTATTTTGGAATTTTGTTGAGGTAGGATTTCACCTTAATTTGGAATTGAATAGCTGCCACATAACTCATAATTATGGAGTCCAAGGCCTTCTGAAGAGTGATATCTAATATCATCATGATATTTCTTAATAACCTTCATTTTAGCCTTTTTTGGGGGGGGGGGTACCAGGGATTGAACTCAGGACTTTGCGTTTGCGAGGCAGGCGGCGGAACCACTGAGCTAAATCCCCGGCCCTATTTGAGCCTTTCTTTTTGTCCTTTCAAAAGTATATTTTTATCAAAAATAAAGTGGTATAAGTTACATATTAAAAACAACCCCTTTAAATATTCAGCGACAACTATGCCTCTTTCTCCCAGATGTGCTGGTACTATAATTATGACAACCTGGCCCACTCACCATCAATATATGCACCATGATCTGTTTTTTGCCATAACTTTTCTTTAAGAATTAATCAAAGATGGCCAATAATGAAAATTAAATTTTTTGTACCAAGGACCTTTTGATTAATTCTAGAAATGCCATGCTCCTTAAAAACTGCATATGAAAGAAGCAAACACTGGGGTGTTGGCCAAAACTAGAGTTTCTTCAAACAATGTAGTGCTAGATAGTCCTGATATAAATCCAACTACAATAGTTTTTCCTATACATTCCACCTGGCATTGAAGAAACCCGGCTGTTTAGACACTTTGTGAAATAGTCAAATCATAATTTCTAGCCTCTCTCAATATAATTTTAATCCATAATTGCAATTCAACTAAATCCCAAATTAATATTCTTAGTTCTTTTTAACTGGGACTATCTAGCTACCCAGGCAGGATGGGGGGATGCTCACCAACTCTCTTTGTGGTGAAAAAGGTCTGGTTTCTATAAACTGTCGTTTTGCTAACAAACTAGACCAGCGATGTGTCATGAGATAGTTTAAGTGAACCAAAAGGCTTTACAGCAAAAATCACTGTGCTCAAGCTATATGCCAACAAAGTATTCTGCACTCCTGGCAAACCCTGTACCTTACACAAGTTGTATTAAAATGTTAATGCTCCATGAAGTTGTTACGATTGGCATGCCCACTTCAATTATTTTTAGAAATTTCCATACATTCTATCAAATCTGGAGGGAATGCAATAATGATGTAAGAAAGTATTAACTGACCTATGACTTAGCCCCCCTAAAATAAGACAAATCTTACCCAACTGTTGACAGAAACATTAAACATTCCCCAAACATATGCTCACCACTTGGACATTTATACCAATACTAAGAATGCTGAGAAGAATTTATTCTTGGACTTGTTAGTATAGCGTGGTTGCATTTTGAGAGCTGTAATTATATCCTATTTACAAGTTCTAACTTAAATATTCTATTTTAAGCATTTCATCACTCTAAAATGTTGTGGTATTGTCTGGGGGAATATTTACTTTGACTCTATAACCCATTTTAGGATGCCTAGTAATGAAGAGATTAAGTGCAAAAGTTAAAGTTCAAAATTTAGTTCAGGAAAATATACTTGAGAGAGAATACTTCAGAACTAAAACATATAGGGATTTTTTTATTTATTCATTATTGAATAAATATTGTTACCTTTAAATTGGCAATTAGCCACTTTAAAACTTTATCAAAAGAAATAATAGAATATATTCAGGAAAAGATATATACAGAGGTGCTCATCATTGAAATTCATGTTAATGAAAACAAAAGAAACTAGCCTAAATTTCCATCACTAAAAATCTGTTTAATTATTTTTTATCTATTGTATAGAATGCTAAATAGCCATTAAAATGATCAAGTGAGATCCATCTGCATTAATTTCGAAAGATGTTCATGATACAATATATCTATAAAAGTGGCAAACAAATATGTATAACATATCCAAACCTAATGTGGAAAAGTCCAATGAAAGCAAATATTTATAAAGTTTTGCAAAATGTCCACAAGAGTTCCAAGCAAATACTTCATTTTTAAGGTGAGCACAACTAGTTTAAGAACATAACCCTTTTGCAGGGACACATAAGCCACATTTTCATATCTGTGGGGCATGAGGTACCAGATACTGAAGCTTAATTGTGTCTTTAAAACTATTTGTCAGCCAGGGTGACAGCTGTAAAATGAAAGCTTGCAAAAGTGAAATATAACAACATAATACGATTTTAGTTAGAGAACTTTAATCAGCTCATTATTTGGTGGACATATGAATGAACCAAATTCTTCATTGAATTTCAGAGCATGAATCTCTTGTCAGGATATACAAACTCCAGATTCTACAACAACAACAAAAATTTAAGAGCTTATAAGAGTTATGCTTAAAATGTATTGAAATATTGCTCTAGAGAAATCTCAGTACCTTAGATATACATTATCATGTTTTCAAATCCATGAATTTTGGCAAGCATTTGGGTTTTTTACAACTTATTTTACCTTGGTGTCCAATATTTCTGGCCAGAATAGCCAAACATATATTTATTATGAGTTTCAGTTGGAGATTGCCTCTGTAGTATATCTAAGCATTGACCTTTTCAGCTAGTCATTTCCTTAAATATGAGAATGTAGGTCATGAAATTTAAGCCACTGAAATCAAAGGAAAACCAAGTGGATCGAGAGCAGATGTTAGAATTTGAGGCAGAAGGTCCTGTGGCATATGACGAGGGCTCATAGAGCTGTGGCTGCTTCTCCAGGGTGAAACATCTGGTTAAAAACAACTCTCAGAGGCAGAAACCAAAGAGGTCTGGAGAAAGTAGACAGTCTAAAATGTGGTATCTTTAAACCAAAAGAGATGCGAAGATGGAAAATACGTAAAAGAAAGATTTGAAGTTAGACTTTCTTTTTAAAGAACTAGTGTATTTGTCATTGACTGTGGTTTAACTAATTAAAGAGTTCTGAATAATCAAATTTTGAATAACTATAATAATGATAAAAATGTAGTCATATTTTATTTGTTCACATAAAACAAAATATAAACCATTTTCAAAGCAAAATAAATTCACAAAGATATTACCAAAATAAAACAAACTTTGAGAAGACACCTACATCCACATTCCAATAAAAATCCCACATTCCAACAATAAACAATTTTAGGATCTTATGCTATCACCCTGTATTAGACTTGACTGCTATTGCTGAAAGCCAGCATAATAGTGGCTTTAAAAACCTGTTTCTTTCAACACATGTAATGTGAGCAGTCGTTCCTGGATCAACATGTAGATTCTATGTTTTCAGAAACCCAGATACCTTTTCATCTGATTTGTCTTCTCTCTTGGGATAGGTAAAGGACACAGGGTTACTACACCATTACATACAGGCAGGCCCCATAAGTGCACATTTCTTTCCTTCACACATTCAGATCTTACAGGCATGGCCACACCAGTGATAAGGGCTGTGGACTGGAATCTGCATTGTGGGCAGTCAGGTGTCTCCCTAAACTTTATTACTGTGAAAGAACGGGAATGCTTATATTGAAGGATAGCTCATAAACGTATTGAAGAATAAAAACTAACATAAATATTGTTCAGCATATTATGGCATGCCATAAAAGGAATAACTAGGTTGCATATATGTTCCGTAGTACTCTATATAAATATTTGGTATTTCAAATAATTGGTTCTTTAATTTCACACTGGCTTCCAAACCTGTTTTACTTATTGAAGGGAGAGTAATCACATGTTACACTATCATACATAAAAGCTGTCTAGGGGTACAACATTACCGTATGTGTATTAAGTGTCTGGAAAATATGATACAGTAATTAGCTAGTACTGATATAAATCAAATGTATTCTTCTTACACTACCTTTAAAATATGTATAAATTTGGGGGCCGGCAATTTAGCTCAGTGGTGCCCCTGCCTGCCTCACAAGCACAAGGTCCCAAGTTTAATCTCTGGTACCAAACATAAATAAAATAAAATATGTGTAAATTTGATAAAATCACACCCATTTTACACATGCCATCTCTTTTCTATCTATTTCCTCTGTGTCTGTATGGGAGCCTTGTAATGACAGAAGGGTAACACTGCAAAAATAGGTGACAGAAAGAAGATATTAAATTACTTTAAAAATGGACCATAGTAAGAGGCTGGCTGGAAGAATGTAAAAGAGAAGAAAGGAATAATAATGTGAAATAGGAAGAAAAGGTCTAAAGGATTAGGGGAAGTGGGAAGGGTAGGGGAAAGGAAAAAATACGAGAAAAGGAAAAAATGGAAACCAAGTCTTTGTAAATAGGGAGTCGGGGAGGGGTTGAAGGGAGGGCAAGAGAATAGGGGAAAAAATAAGAACCAAGATACACCATGTAAAGGTACAAGATCCCAATGATCCACGTAACTGTATTGTATACCTAAAATGTACTAATAAACTTTAAAAAAAAGAAATAAAAATCAAAATAATGGTTAAGCTAAGACATAAGCTAATATCATAAGAAATATTGAATAAAAACAAAGAGTAGGGAAGAATCAAAGTTTGTGAATAAATCTCGGATCACTTAATAGAGAGGAAAGAAATAGAATGCAGGGCAAGCATATATAGCTCGGCAGATAAATTCATAATAATAGTATGACTTTACATTAAGGTCACACTGGCTTTAACATCCCAGCTTTCTTGAGCAGATTATATTTGCTAAATCCCCTTGTTTTTGAAACCTTCAAGTTAAAAATTATTATTACCCTTTGCAGCAAAACAATTAATTAATTGTAACTAATTAGTTATCCCGCAAATGGTGAGTCATAAATGTTATGTAGCATATACTCAGTTGCCTGCTGAGAGGCATAAGCAAGGGCAGGGTTACAGAAGGAAAATGTTGAAA